GGTGAACGCCTTCATGCGTTCCCTCTCCTTCCTGCTGCCCCCCTCCTGGCTGTGTGTCAGCCTGTGCTTGTGAGCCAGTGAGTGCGAACAGACGCCGCCACGGTCCAATCCCAGAGCTCGCTTCCGAGCTACAAAGCCTCTTACATATGAGGAAGTAGTCGCAGTAGCCGCGGCTGTACACGGTGGTGGTGGTGCTGCTGCTGCCTCCTCCTCACCTTGCAGCCCTTCGGCCTCTCCAGCTCCAGGCTGCGTCTCGCCGGCTCCGCAGGCCGCTCCGTCGGACGCTCGGATCTGTGTCGGTCTCGCGTGGCAAGCCGTGGAGCGCGTCTTGGGAGCTCCGTGGGTCCTCCTCGGCTATAGTAGCAGTCGATCGGCGTCACGTCCCGCCTGCCTCCTTGACTCGAGCTCGACTTCTGGAGGCGCCTTCACCGACCCGGGGGCGAACATGAGCGCGGCCGCGGGGATCCCCACCCCGAGCCTGAGCCCCAGTCTCAGCCTCAGCCCGTGCTCCCCCGACTCGTCCGAAGAGGTCATCACCGTGGACCACCAGCTCTCTCAGGAGATGGGTACGGTGACCATCACGGTGGCCATCCAGGCGGCAGAGGACGAGGAGCCCGAGGAATTCTCGCCCGGGCATGTCGACTTTATCGGCGGCAGCTGCAGCGAGGACGAATTCGGGAAACACGACAAGTCGAGGTTGGTCATGAAACACGCTCACGCATACACGATGAGACACTTAAAAGTTGATGTGAGGTAAATTTGATTTAAAAAAGAAACTCACCGTTGTTTAAGTTCAAATGTTACTTATTTCGCAATTCGGCTCATCTCATGTGTCATGAGTTGAAGCGAGATGAGTTTTGAATTGGAATTAAACCTCGTTTTCCTCCAATTCATGTTTTTGTAGTACAGGCAGCCGATTCACAAGTAGTTACCTCGCGGCACTTTTTAGAGTAAGCGGCTTTTGAACCAACTCATTCATCTGCTTATTTGCATTTTAAGCATGTAAACAAACTGGAATATTATACGGACGTTTTTATGTAATTTATTTTTAACCTATAAAAAATCAAGTATAAGTTGTTCATTTAAAATAGCTACTGCAGTTGAGGAACTCTGTTCACATTTGGGGGTGTGGGAAAACATTGTTTGGAGTTACTGCCTCACCAGAAAATTCAATATATTTCATATTTATATGTGGGACACATACGTTATGTCCTGTGCTTTTAATATGAGGCAAATTCTGCCTATTTAAAATACCCCCCAAACTACATCATGGGGGGGGGGGGGGTGCAAGTGATGGCAACTAACCTTAGAATTGGAAGTGAAACACACATAGAACAATTTGGCTGAAGTGACAATAAGTTGGTATTGGTTTTAAAAAACATGTGCTAGTGCCACTTCAACTAGACTGTGGGTGTCCATCTGACTTGAAGAGTTGAGTCAATTGTGATTTGGGATGTTTTTAAAGCATTAGGTGCCACACCCAATGCCTTAAAAATAACGACAAATGTCAGATGTTGGTGTGGTATTGTTTAAGATGTCACTAATGGCAAAGACATGATAAACACAGAACCAGAAGTGGAACTTGTTCCAAAATATTTCGTGGTTTGAGCAATTCTGTCCTACCCTGTATTAAAAGAAAATGTGGACATAATTCCTGTTGTGTGCCCATTTGAGAGAATGGGTGAGATGCATTTGGAATCACCTCTACACTGGAAAATGCCATTAATTTCATATTCATATGAAGCAGGTGTTGTAAGCAGCGCCCTGCCTGCGAGTACCAGGTAACCCCCAAGGAACCAGGTGCTCTAAAAATAACTCGCAAGTGATGACCTAGCAATGTCGTAAAAATGATCTTTTGAAAACGTAAACACAGTTTGCTACCTTGTTAAATTAGTAACATGATCGGTGTCTTAACATGGAGGAATATCATTAACTATTAACATTAGCGCCATTAACTGTCATTTGAGAAAAGTGTTATTTCACAAGTGTGTATCAAACTGGTTGCTCTCAGTTCCAAAAAGGTTCGTGACGCCTGATATCCAGTTTATGTGGAAACAAAAGTTGCCTCAGTCACTTTTAATATGCGGCAATTTCCATGCGCATTAAAAGTAATCTTTGTTGGCCAGTGATAGCAAATACACAAATGTGATCACTATAAAAACAGAGGTTGCAACAAAAGTGGTTCGAGCCTCTCTCTTCTGGCTGCTCAGCACCGCGTGGCTTAAGTGACAATCCGATGATAATTATATTTCTAAGGCTGTTTTGGTCTCATTTGGTAGTGTGGGAAGGATTGCAGTTGGAGTCACTTGGATGATAGAAAATGACATTATTTGCGTATTTAGATGGAGAACGCGTGACAACAAAAGATACCTAATGCACTTCTAACAGAATGGTCCCTTGCCATTAAAAACACCCCACAGTGTGAATCTCGATCAATGGAACGATTATGAATGATTACGACTTGAGTTTTCATTTCTCAACCCATTGCTTCAATAGAAAAGAGTGAAAGTGTAGACTAGCAGATTTTCCTGGCTTTCTTTGCTCGAGTAAAACCACATGCTCAACAGGGGCTGGCACGGCAGCAACAGCCAACGGACAGCGCGTTTGTATGAGGCGATGGAAGCGTGTAAAATCCTTGCACTCGAGGACTGCCCGAGCGGTCTGGCGGGAATGGCTCAGTGTTACTGGACTACCAGACACCCGAGGGAGATAAAGGATGATGCCTTCACCTTAATCTCAACCGCCAACCCTCCCTTGCGTCCCTGCCTGCTATTTTTAGCCCGTCTCTTGAGAAGTTCTTACCTGGACTGTCTGAGCACAAAGTGTGGCCACGCCCGGATGGCTTTATAGCACACAGTGCTTTGTGCGGCACCTCCTTGTGTGGTCGCGTTGCCGTTTTTATTGCGGGTGTCGGGAGATGAGAGGATTGGTAGCTGCCAGCTGGGTGTTCACTGGTGTATTTCCGACAGAGAATCTGTTGTTATAATAATAATAATAATAATACATTTTATTTGTGGGCGCCTTTCTAAGCATTCAAGGACACCTTACAACAAGCAGCTAAAAACACAAATACAATGTTAAAAACAGCATCAAATAAAATAAGATAAAATAAAACAAAATGGATTGATTTATGGTCAGAGTGAATAAGCTTGTCTAAACAGATGATTTTTTGCAGTGGGACAGGGGAGAAGCCCAGCTGCCAATAGTGCGTGTGTGTGTGAGTGTGCGTGCCTGTGTGTGGAAGGGGGTTGGGGGGGGGGGCACAAGCAATTACCCTCTCCCAAATGGGTTTATACATGCCTATACTGTATCTGAAAATATACAATAAATCATTTCCAACCCAATTTACATTCCCCTTAAGTATAAATGATTTACGGATTAATTTCGGAAAAAAAAGGCACTCAATACGTAGTGACCGTGTACAGTATGTTGTTTTTGCAAACTGTAAAAATAGCAGTCGTCAAGCCATAACGAGACCCCCTGTGTTAGCTTAAGCATCTTAATAGCCATTCCATGGAGAAAAACTACACGAGGCAGACTCAGGGGGGGTGGCTAATCTGGGGACAGCACAAATACAGATTAATTTATGATGCTAGGTTCCACAGGGGAAAAAAATGAATTTGTGAAGAATGCGGGGGTTCACTTATCTCTGTTTTCATTTGCTTTATTTCCAGTGGGAGACACTGGAATGTCCATGGTTGGATGTTGGAGATTCCACAGAACTGTTCGGTTTTGATTCATGTTGGCGCCCTCTTGTCAAAGAGGCTCACACGACTCATGTGAAGGATTATGCCAGCTGTGCGGTCAGCTTGCTAGAAAGCTGAGAGAGAGCGAGAGAGAGAGGGAGGGAGGCAGGGAGGGAGGAATGGATGGGGGATGAAAAGAGGATGCGGAGGAAGGAGATGAGTCATCCTGACAAAAATTAATTCAGTCCCCCCCTTACTTCTCCTCTGCTTGTTTGTACGAGACTTGGCGTTAAAATTCCCCTAGAGCAGGAGTGAGGTAGTAGTTTTGCTGCCTATTCTCCAAGGGAACATTGGGACCGTGCACCTCTCAGATGGAGAGGTCTTGGCACCAAGACCTGTGACTCACTGTCTCGCTGGAGCGATGGGGTTGTGTGGGGGGGTTGCGCAATAATCAGGTTACGTCAACGACTAGTAAAGTGATTGTGTTGAATGCAAAATGTAGTAAAAGGAGATTCTGTGAGAGTGGGAGAGCCCTCTTCCCACGCATGCAGTTAAGTACATGTTATCATCCAGAGTGTCCCAACAATCATAAGCTGTCCATTACACTACAACATGATGTGTTCTTTCCATTTTTCTTTCCAAATTGGAAAATAGTGGAAATAAACTGTTGCCATCATAAATGTTTTGGTAACTGCACAGGGTGATTTAAGTAACATTTGTCATAGTAGAAAAAAAAGATATATTAAAACAAACGAATGCAAAGATACAAAACTATGAGAAAATGTTAAAAAAAACGTTAGAGGAAAATTATGAGTATAACAGAAAATATCAGAAAATAATTCAAAACATACCAAAAACATTAAATTAAAAACATACTTAAATGTTTGAACCAAGACAAAAACGCAGTCAAGACTTGCCCACTCTTGTCTGACTGAAAATATGTTTAAAAAAAAATGGAACTATAGATGACAAAAAACATTGGAAAAATTACCCGCATCTTACAGAAAAAAATACAAAATACAAGATAGACAAAAATACAGGAAAAAAAAAATCAAAGGATATTGGACTAATACAAAAATATTGCAGGAAAAATACGCAAATGACGTAATTGGTTTGTGCAGGATGTATTCCTGTACAATTACAGAACAATTAAATTTAAAAGAAAATTCCCAATATTACACAAAAAAAAAGCAGAATATTTTTGGGGGTGAAATAGTCCAAAAACGGTTCTTCGGAGAAAAAAAAAATTGATCACACAACATCGGTGCCGAGATTTCAATCCGGAACTTGTCGACTGTGTGGTCGACTGCTAACCACTAAATCAGTGTTCTACTTAGATCAATGCGTCATGTATTTGACTGCTCTTCAGGCAGCAAGATTACTTCAAAACAACACAATTTTTTCCCCATGAAATTTGGGTAAAACTCCCCAAAAACCTGGGTAAAATTAAGGCTCGATGCCCTCTTTTTCACTGTTGCAGTCTACGTGCATCGGGGCTAAGGTGAGGCAGTGCCTCATAAAATCCATTCGATGGAATTCTGGTGTGACATTTCTCATATTGATCCCTCAACAGGACCTCAGTAGAACAGCAACAGGTCTGAATGACATGTACAGGGATTTTCTGGTCTTGTCCTGACAATGACACAATTATATTGTCTCACCACAGTGGTGCCGGGACCAGCGGCGGGGAGCTGGAGGAAGAGAGCTGGCAGCCCCCTGACCCAGAGCTCATCCACAAGCTGGTGACCCAGATTGAGTACTATCTGTCGGACGAAAACCTGGAGCATGACGCCTTCCTTCTCAAGCACGTGCGACGCAACAAGCTGGGCTTTGTCAGTGTCAAGTTGTTGACCTCCTTCAAAAAGGTAACCATGGCGATATTGATTGTTGCTTTTGTCAGTGGTTGTCAGCTAGTTCCTGGCAGTTAAACTGCTGATGCTTACATGGGCAGGTTTTCCTCGCATTTTCATGCTTTCCATTTCGTCACTTGGGTGCTACAAATTATTCAACAGGTTTGTTGTATTGCCATGTTTTTGACGACATGGCTTAGTCCTCCACGTCGCTCCGGAGATAGCGCCATACCTGCGCGTTAAACTGCCCATTGCACATTCTGTCGACTTTAATTTGCAAACCAAAGTTATAAAGAAAAGATGGACTCTGATTGGCTGCAGTCGTGTACGTTTCTGCTGTGTCTGGTGGAGTAAATATGCTCACAGATAGCGGCTTGATTGCCCTTCGGAAGGTAATCGACAAGGTGGAGGGATTTCGGGGGGGGTTCTGTTTCTCTGCGGACTGGTACTGGGCCACGGACTGGTTGTTGAAGACCACTAGTCTATAAATCCCCCCCACCCCACCCCAAATACACCCAGGGTGGGGGGGATACATACAATATATTATTATTAAGATTATCAAAGGAAGAAATATAGGAACATAAAAAGGGGGGGGGGCAAATAACAAAAAAGGGGGGGGGGCAAATAACAAAAAAGGGGGGGGGGCAAATAACAAAAAAGGGGGGGGGGCAAATAACAAAAAAGGGGGGGGGGCAAATAACAAAAAAGGGGGGGGGGCAAATAACAAAAAAGGGGGGGGGGCAAATAACAAAAAAGGGGGGGGGGCAAATAACAAAAAAGGGGGGGGGGCAAATAACAAAAAAGGGGGGGGGGCAAATAACAAAAAAGGGGGGGGGGCAAATAACAAAAAAGGGGGGGGGGCAAATAACAAAAAAGGGGGGGGGGCAAATAACAAAAAAGGGGGGGGGGCAAATAACAAAAAAGGGGGGGGGGCAAATAACAAAAAAGGGGGGGGGGCAAATAACAAAAAAGGGGGGGGGGCAAATAACAAAAAAGGGGTGGGGTGAGCAGTCACTCATTTGCATGAGCCAAGACACTTTCAAGAAGCAAAAGTACGATGTTGAAAGTCTGCCTATCTTTGAGGTATTTTGACGAAAGCTGACTAAATGTTATTGAAACAGTCTCAGCCATGTCATGCGAGCGTCTTGTGTTTGCAGGTGAAACACTTGACTCGCGACTGGAGAACGACTGCTTTCGCCCTGAGACAATCCAACCTCCTGGAGCTCAACGACGAGGGCCGGAAGGTGCGGCGTAAATCGGCCGTGCCGGTCTTCGCCAGCGAATCGCTGCCCAGCCGCATGCTGCTGCTGAGCGAGCTGCATCGCTGGCCCGAGCTGGCCCAGCTCACGGAGAACGGAGGCGGGGGCGGCGAGAGCGGAGCCGCTCAGCAGGAGCAGCTGATGAAGCTGCTGCTCAAAGCCTTCGGGACATACGGCGCCATCGCGTCAGTCCGCGTCCTCAAACCCGGCAAGGACCTGCCGGCCGACCTGAAGAGGCTGAGCGGCCGCTACGCCCAGCTGGGCACCGAGGAGTGCGCCATTGTGGAGTTCGAGGAGGTGGAGGCGGCCGTCAAAGCCAACGAGGCCGTGGGTGGCGCGGATGGCGGCAGCGGCTCGCCGGGCTTGAAGGTGGTCCTGATTGGCACCAAACCCCCCAAAAAGAAAGTCCAGAAGGAGCGGCCCAGCGAGGACGCACCCCCCACAGGGATGCGCAAAAGCCGCTCGCTCAACAGCCGAGTCCGAGAGCTACAATACCACGCGGACGACTCTGCCTGCAGTTCCTCGGACACGGAGAGCACGCCCACGTCGCCCCGGCCGGCCCGCAAGTCCCAGTCCTGCAACAAGCTCAGCCCCACGGCCGCAGGTGTTGCCTTCCAGAACAATCACCTGTCACCCCGCAACAGTCCGTGGTCCAGCCCCCGTGCCAGTCCCTGCCTCCAGCGCAAATCGGCCCACTCCCACAAATCGCCCTTAGCCAGCCAGGGCCGACTCAGCCCCGAACCCGGGCGCCGCTGGGCCGATTACTCGTCCGACAGCAGCCTGACGCCGTCGGGCAGCCCGTGGGTGCAAAGGCGCAAGCAGGTGGCTTCACAGGAGAGCAGTCCGGTGGGGAGCCCGATGCTGGGCCGCAAGATCCAGAATGCGGACGGCCTGCCCCCGGGCGTCACCAGGCTCCCGCGGGGCCCCGACGGAACCCGCGGGTTCCACTGCGGGCCGCTCGCCGAGAGAGGCAAGAGTGCCGCCACCCAGACTTGACGTGTAAAATGCATCCTGCTCGTGCCTAACCTGAGCGGCCCCCTCGCCTCTTATTTGACACTGTAGATCTATTTTTCTTTTTTTTTGTTTGTTGAGTGGCTTGTTCTATTTTTATACAAAATGTTGTGTTGACTTGGTGACATTAGTTCTTTGCTAATGGAAATTTGAGTGGATTTAAGTTGTTGTTGCTTCAAGAGAACTTCCCCTACATCCATCTAAAAAAATGTCAAAGGAGCTGTGTTTTTTTTTTTTTTGGGAGTTTTTTGCCCCCAATGACCCTCCTCTTTTAAATCGAAGTGTTCTGTCCTAATGTGTGACAACCTCACACTATGGATTGGTGTATTGATATGTACGTGGAGATCACAGTCTGCCTTTTTTGTGTCGGTCTGCATTTTGACATGCTATTTTAAGGAGAAGTCAACAAAAACAATTGTTGACAATAATGTTACGTGCGGCCACACTCGTCTAAACACGGTTTTCCGATTGTATGTTGCGTTTATGGAAGATGAATTTAGCAGCACGTCCACTCGTTTGTTCTCCTTTTCAGGGGGCAGCCATTTTGCCACTTGCGGTCGACTGAGAATAAAATCACAGTTGCGCAGGCAATGACCAATCACGCCACACCTGTTTGGTCATGTGACATTCGCAAACTTAGCCGTGATTGGTTATTTGAGCCCTTGAGCAACTGTGACATCATTTTCATTCGACAGCAAGTGGCAAATCGGTCGTCACCTGAGATGGACAAAAAACGTTTTCGGGTTTTTTTGTTTTGTTTGTTTGTTTGTTTTTTTCGACATAATTAATATTCCACTAATACAGTATTAATTCGAATACTGTGTTTGGACTCGTGGGGCCGCATAGAACTTTATTGTAAACTTTTTTTTCCGTTGACTTCCCCTTGAAAGCAAGCCCATACTCTCTCCGGGTTGGACAGGTCATTTCTCTTTTAATTTACACTTTTATCATTTAATTTCAGATCTACTTTTGGCAATGGAAGGGCCTCTTTTAGCCGTGAATAATTTTTTTTCAGCAAGTATCTTTTGTTTATTTATATTGAGGGTTTTTTTTTTCTCAAACAGAACTTAATTTCTCCTCAGAGTGAGGGTGAGGGATGCTCAGGTCGAGCAAGAAGAGATGTTCCCATGTTTGCTCTACACCTGAGCTGGGGTTGTTTGTACAGTGCAAATCCTGTCGTGCAAATAAAGCACTAAAACTGCACGTATGCTTTTGTTTGTGGCACGTTTTACTGACTTGATGGCTCACCTGTCGAAATGGTTGGAGTTGGAATGCAGAGTTGTCATACAAGAGTGTTGGAATGGAAAGAGAAATCATTCAGCTGCACCAGGCCTAAAACATGTTTGTTCAAATGAGGTGTGGCATTAAAGGTTAGGCATGAGATCATGTCGGCGTTCAAGGAATGACTTACTTGCTGCTGTGCTTGGCTCAGCTCGGAAAGAAGAAATACAAGCGCAGTGTTGACATCATGCGACGATAGAAACAGTCGGTAAGAGTAAGGCTGTATGGAGCAAAGTGAAAACTTTTAAAGGACGGTTGCATGATATGGTGCCGATTTGACTCGGGAGAGAAATCCTCAATCGTTTTGTTGCATCACATGCATGACGCATGGATAATACTACTTTAATGTCATGGTCGTACAAAAAGAAAATAAACTTAGGCACAGTTCTGGCATCATGCCACGATGCAATGAGTAGATCAGTTTGCCGTCCGGCTTTTTGTCATACTGAAAATGTCAACACTAACTGCTTCCTGTTGCCTCGCTGAACTCAAGTGAAGAAAAACTTGAATGGCATCACATGTTCAAGGTGTTGCAAGTTAACTTCCATATTATCACGGTAAGCAGATCTAGTACATATGATGCTCAAAACGGAGGCTTTTTGTTAGGTGTTGGAAAGTTGGAAGTGTGGACAGTCATTTGGTTATGTTGCTGCCACAGAATAACAGCTGTGGTGAAAACTGTGCAAGATATGATGCATACTGCTCAAAAGTTTTAAATCACTCCGCTTGCTTTGACATGTCAAAGTAGTAAGCCACTGCAGTCAAAATGGTGAATTCAGAAATTTTGTCCTACACTGATGCCACAGCCATAGAAATACGCTTCTGTAGTCCAGACAATGCAAGATATGTTGCTTGCTGACCGCACAAATGATGTTTGGGTTCTCACACATTAATGTCACTCGCATGAAAATAAGCTTCTTTTGTCAAGACAACGCATGAAATGCTGCTACGCTGTGACTATTTGAAAGAAAGCCCCTCGTGCCCCATCAACTAGCGTCTATAAGGACAAAATGAGAAGGAAAGAAAGAGTCCAAAGTAAAGGGACGGCAGCGGCTTTTTATAGACTGCAGTTTCCACAACTTAAGGTAGGCTCGGAACGCACCATGGCAACCGCAGAGGAGACACCGCGGGGCGCCGTTTCACGACGACAGAAGATGGATGAGAGGAATTGGTGGACTTGAAGGTCCGTTGAGGTCGGTCACAATAAATGTTTTCGCATTGGCAACGATAAGATGACAGTGGGTGAATGCCTTTTATGAAACAGGAATGAATTCACTTTGTTCTCTTTTCTTCCTAAAAAGACCCCCCCAAAAAGTGCCCTTTTTGTGGTCAAACATCATTCGCACATGATTACGCTATCATCCTCATTACGGAATGCTGCATGTAATTGCCAGGCTATGATTAAATGGGATTATCATGATTATGAGGGATAATGGTTTAATGTTACGCCCCCTCCGCATCCTCCCGTCGACCATTATATCTAATTTTCCTCTAATCTCAGAGCAAAATTCATTCAAAGACTCCCACATTAATTTCCAAACAGACTCATCTTTTTTCTTTTCGCCTTACAATAATCATCATATTGTACTTCCAACGCAATCTCATGTGCTCCATTAGCGGAAAACTTAGTTTGCATCACTGAATATTAAAATGGTTGCAGTCAGGCAAAAACAGATTTGATAAGATTTTATTATACACAACTCAGGAAATGTTATTTACAGTGTTTTCAACAAAAAATTAAACACACATGAACATTCAATTGCACATGGCAAACATTTTCAAGAAAAGGTCCCGCGGTGAGAGGAGGGTTAGCGCTCTGAATATGCTTGCTTATGACGTCACTTCCTGTCAAATCCTATGATCCGATCAGTTGTGCATTTGCATCATAGTAGGAAGTGTGACAAATTAGTGTTAATCTGGACAAACGCACAGTAAGAGATCATGTTGGCCGCATTGCAAAGTTGATGACAGCTCCAGTTAGCAAAATGAGAGAAAATTGTGACAGCTGTGGCCTGAACATCTCTTCCAGCTCAAACACTACCGCTGAAAATGCAAGAGTGCTGAGTTGACTCAATCCCCGCCATTCGGCATTGGTGCTATACTTAAAAACAGAGAAAAGGACAGTTTTTAGCAGTCGTGTGAGAGGGGCTGAATGATTTCCAACAATAGAGAAGCCATCCTTGGATTTATTTTCTTATAATTGTGGCCTGAACTTCTGTTCCAGCTCTGACATTACCTCTGATGCCAGAAATTTGCTGGGTTGACTTCACCGACCTATTCCGCGAGGGCGTAATTTATTTAGAAAATGCTGATAAAAATGCCAGGTTTTTTTTTTATCGGCAGTGTGAAAGGATCAACTTTTGCCGAAATAATATTTTTATGACAATACTGTAGAGTGACGGGCAGGGGGTGAAGTTCTTTACATTTGTGACACATTGTATCGCTCAGCATGTCACCTGATGGCGTCTGCGTCAATTTTATCCACCTTGCGCTCGGTGAAAGAAAACCAGCCATCGCAGTTTGGCGGTCTGAGACCATTTTGGCAGCTGCCTTCACGGAGCGAGCTCCCGCCAGGATGTAATTGCCGGTTCCTGGTGGCAGTGCAGCACTCCATCTGCACGCTCGCACCAGAGGAGGCTGATTGGGATGGAGCTGCTGTATGTGTGTGTGAGCGTGAGTGTGTGTGTATGCACAGGCACACACTCATCTTCATCCTCGGGTGTGAGGCAGGAAAACACTTCCTGCGTGTTAGCAGATGGGAATGCCGGGGAGGTACTGACAACGCAGTGTCAGTAGATCATCAATCCTTGGAGCACGAGCCGTGTCTCAAACATCGTAACATTGTTGGGGTTTTTTTTTTAGATGTAAAGAGAACCGTCCGCCGGGCCCACGTAACCCACGGCGATGAGAAGCACGTCTATCAAAGTCCAAATGCCCAGTCCTCCGAAGCTGAAGAGCTTGCCCAGACCCTCTCTCCACTGGCCCAGGTAAAAGCGGTCCGCCCCAAAACCGCCCAGTGTGATGCTGCACAATAGTGGACACAAACAAAAAAAAATAATAAGCAGGTTGCCCACGAAAGGTATTATAAAGTCTTTTGTAAGCTTTGATTATACCTGAGCGCCAACGCCGTGGACCACTTGTATCCCCCAGTCCAGTTGCAATACAAACGCTTCTGAAAACGCCTTTTGCCTACAAATAAACAAGTGTGAGTAGACGTAACATAGCAGCTCATGCTTACATGCTTAAAATTAAGCCATTGGAGTTTTGCAATGGCCGAGGGGCTAATTATTTTTATTTTTTTTTGATAAAAGAATTGTTTTATCAAATTTATTTTTTTTTTTGTGACTTTGTTCCTCATAAAACTGAATTCCCTCCTGTAACAACAAAATAACATTTTTGTCTGGTATGATGGTATACAATGGTTTTGAACAGTCACGGTGTCAAAAGTGCTAAAGGGAGCTTTAATCTTCTAAAAATTCCAACTTTTAAATGATATCAAACTCAGATGCATTTTATTTTAAATAATTTTAAAAAATCAGACCAATGAAATCATAATTTTGTAACAAAGCACAGGCCAATATCAGATTGGGATGGTATGATAACCATAACGAAAAATATTAGTTTCATGGTATCATAGTATTAAAATGACAGCTCTAAAATGACTTTTTTCCCCCTTTAAATATGTGAGTGAATAAAAGCAGCATTTTTTTCCCCCCCACATTGAACACAATATATTTCATTCATCTATGTTAACATGTGTCTACTGTTTTAATTCTCCTCATTAAATCACAGTGTCCCATCACTGGTGAGCTGTTTTTAGAACAGAACTGTGCACTACTCATTTTGCCCTTGAGGCTAATGAGAACACGCTGGCATCATTCTTTTTCTTTTCTTTAGGACAAAGCCCATTAACAGAGCAAAAAGGCACCCGTGTTTGAAGCGCCTCTTTCGTCTTGCTAACTCCTTCCTCCTCCTTTCCCTTTTTGCTAAAAAAAAAAAAAAAAAGTTAATTGGAGACAATTAACTTCATAGAGGTGGCTTGTTTACTCAACATTGTAAGCAGCCAAGCATCTTGTAACCTGCTTAGGCGTCCCCTCCAAAAAGTAAAGCGCTCATTATCAGTGACTGCCATTATTAACTGTTACTGAAACCATGACCTTTTAAAACCAACGTTAATCATCAAACCGGTTATCATTCCATACCTAATTGGAACTTTTTTTTCCATTTCATTGCAAGGCATTTCAAACACTTCAGAGCACTTTCGGTGATAAAATGTTAATGTATGCTCCGCATTTTCATTTAAAAACATGACCAAAAAAAAATGCATAACGCCAAACCAAAGCAAGCGTGTTGCAAGGATTCTTCAGAAGCGTACCTAAACAGTGAACGTGTTCCAAGACATCACAGGTGGCATTGTAGCGCTGCCGGGGGCAGGCCACAGTCATGCAACTGGTGGAGTTGGAGCAGCGGTACTGCCTCGAGTCCAGCTGCCAACAGAACTGACAGGTGACGGAAAGAGAGAAGTTGCTTTGCTGTTGGCCAAACTCTCCCTAAACAAAGCACAAAATTAAAATCAGGGCTGAGACACAAGAAACAATGCAATAAGGAATGATGACTCAAAAAAAAAATGAAAGGAGGAAAAAAAAACAACTCACAACACAGTGAATGCCTTTTTTGGCTTTACAGGAGAAGGAAGTTGGTTTCCCGTAGGTGCAATTGTGTTGATAATTGCACTGCACGCAATCAGCGGGCAAGCGAGTGCAAAGTCCCCCACTGGGACATTTGAAGGCATAGCTCTCATCATTACCAGCGGGAGAAGCTGCAATCAAAGACAGAAATGTAAAAAGGAATAATTCTTCCTGCATATAAAATATGAAGGTAGATGCCTGCTCCTAATTTTGGGCCACCTCTGGCTGTAAAAACCTCAGAATTCATAAAACCTGGAGACATGGGACACCCTTATAAGTTGCATCATTCGTAAATTAAAGTAACTATTGTAGATGTATTTGCGAAAATATGACATTACTGTGCCGTGATGAACAATGAGTCCATGTCATCTTTGCTTTTAAATTTTCGTTTGACTTGCGAAGAGATTTAAGGTTTATCCTGTATGTATAAACATTTGTTTGCGATGCAAGCAAAGAGTATGGCTGAGGGAGAAAAACCCTCAATGCATTGACCAGGAATCAAACCCCAGCAAGAATTGTACAACTGAACCAGTAATGCCTTGCACATGAAGGAAGACAACACACAACTACAGCATAGTACGTGAATGAATGAAGACTACCCGTGGCTGCAGCAGGCACCACCGGGCTGGTGATAACCGGGCCATGTTGGGCTTCTCTGGCGTACGAGGGATCCTGGCCGACGTGCGGGGAGCTCAGATATCCTTAACGGGCAAACACAAGCATCAATCATGGTGGTTACAGTCGATCTTTTGCACATGACAAATCACTGCTTAAATCGAAATAACCATCACAAAAAGCTAATTACGTCATATGTGAAATGCGACATTTGATGGACAAGCAGCCCCCGGGCGCAGCTAGCTAGCCGTTTTGAGTTTTAGCCTGATCCGCTTACTGTGCGCTTTTCTATGTACATTTTAAACTTTCACAGTCAGCACGGAAGGAACGTACCATTGACACACTGCAAAAAAAGGTCCGTACACAAGAGGAGTCCGATTCCGTAGCTTTTGAGGAATCGTCCCTTGTCAGGTCGCCACTGTTGACAAGCCATTTATCCCTTGCTTGTCTTCCTTGTTGCGTCCTCCTCCTTTTTTTCTCTTTGGTTGCTTGCTTGTAGCGGTTGGTGGAATGAAGCTCATTGTTGCTCTCTGTGGCCACATGAGGTACAACAACAGCAGCTCATGATTTCTTCTCTGAAAGGTTTGGCTTTTACATACTGATTATCAGTTTGACGCTGTTGAAAAACATACTGAGGATTCACTTCTCAAATGTTAGGTTTTTTTTTTTTTTAAACATCCACATCAGACATGCTTATCAATATGACGTTTTGTGACCTTAAAAATTAGAGCAATGGAATTAATTCTAAAACTTAACATTGCTAATGTGCCATACGTGTTAAACTGGGTTGAAAATAAATAAATGATATAAATAAAATTTGCATTTTTTTAATTAAAAAAAAAATTAGATCAATTGTTATGTTTACAAATGTTTTTTTTCTAACTGAACTTTAACCTGGTTCAATCTGACCCACAACATAAAAGGAGGGTTAAACCACTAACTAACCAGTTGTCGGAAGAAACACTGAAATGAAGGTAACATAAGTCTTGATAAGGTAAATGCCTGACTTTTTTGGAGGGTACAAAAACAAAACAAGATGCAGTTCAACATTTAATTTATTTCCCTTCAAAACAGAGACCGCAGGCCAGTTACGTCGTCATCATTCATAATGGCAATCGACAAACACATTTCTTGAACCCACCAACCCTCTCTGATCAATCACAGTGACATTTTGCCCCATTAACAGACACATTCCCAGTACCACTTTTATATGAGACATTTTTTCAGCAATTCTATTCTCATCTGGGGAAGACTGAGGTACTCAGACACCCCGCTTGGCTCATCAAGCACCATCAGAACTCCTCTTCTGCATTTCGGCAGCGGGCCTGCTTTAGAAGGCTCATGCGGGCCAGCGCATCGGCCACCGATACTTCGCCGTGGACTTTGTTATCCCTGGTACGCACGTTGACGCCGCTGGTCATCTTCTCCTTCTCGCCGACCACTGCCAAGGCATGACGAGATCAACACCGGTTCATGCCAAGTAACACAGCTCCCCTAGCACATGGCCCCCGCTTGGTGTTGGTGAATTTGTCACTGATGGGGTGTTAGCCAGCACAAAACTCAGGGGAAAATCAGACCAACTGTTGAGTCTAATACAGTCTAAAATTCTGTGAAACGAGCAACATGAACGAGTGATGTGAAAAGTGAGCCCAAAATGGTTTAATGCTAATATTTTCAATGTAGGGACTGTACTAAAAAAGTAAAGAAAAAAATAACAATAATTAGGTGAATATAAACAGTCAATATTCTGCATGTAATAGACACAAAAGTTAAGATTCAATTATGGCTGACAACTGGATTGGTTTTGTCAGACATGGAATAAATCCACGAAAAATGACTTCCTCACCCTTTCTCTCTGGAGTATGGCCTTCATACCAGATGCCATTATTGCACCTTTTTGAGCCATTACTTGGAACAAGGCTTCTGTATATCTTTATCATCAAGGAAATTTTGGCAGGGATTTTTGTTTATTGCTTATTTTCCCCACTGTTTGACTCTTGAAGCTATTACAACACTAACAAAATACTGATTTTGTTTCGTGTCAAGGCAACACCTTACCCAGAATGAAGTTATATTGGGCCAGTTGAGCATTGCGGATTTTTTTATTTAAAAGGCACCCAGAATCCAGGTCAGAATCCGCCATCATGCCTGCATCTGTGAACTGCTTACACACCTAAAAAGCAAGAAACGGTGCCCATATGCTTTTGGTGACCTCAAGGAGATGCTCTTTGTTGTGGTTAAGACTGAAGCGAGGGGACTCACCTTCTTGGCATACTCCTCGCAAGATGGGTTGACAGGCAATACCATCACCTGCCTTGGAGAGATCCAAAGGGGCCTGGTGGTCGGGACAAGTATCACAAAAAGCGTAATGTTCGGGGAGCATTATTACTAATTTTATTATTATCATTAATTTATTTATGTACTGTTACCAGAAAGTCACTCACCATTTCCCAGCATAGTTTTCTGTCAGAATTGCAATCATTCTCTCCACGGAGCCCAAGATGGCCCGATGGATGATAACAGGACGAGCTTTGTGTATAAACATTTGTTTGCGATGCAAGCAAAGAGTATGGCTGAGGGAGAGAAACCCTCAATGCATTGACCAGGAATCAAACCCCAGCAAGAATTGTACAACTGAAGCAGTAATGCCTTGCACATGAAGGAAGACAACACACAACTACAGCATAGTACGTGAATGAATGAAGACTACCCGTGGCTGCAGCAGGCACCACCGGGCTGGTGATAACCGGGCCATGTTGGGCTTCTCTGGCGTACGAGGGATCCTGGCCGACGTGCGGGGAGCTCAGATATCCTTAACGGGCAAACACAAGCATCAATCATGGTGGTTACAGTCGATCTTTTGCACATGACAAATCACTGCTTAAATCGAAATAACCATCACAAAAAGCTAATTACGTCATATGTGAAATGCGACATTTGATGGACAAGCAGCCCCCGGGCGCAGCTAGCTAGCCGTTTTGAGTTTTAGCCTGATCCGCTTACTGTGCGCTTTTCTATGTACATTTTAAACTTTCACAGTCAGCACGGAAGGAACGTACCATTGACACACTGCAAAAAAAGGTCCGTACACAAGAGGAGTCCGATTCCGTAGCTTTTGAGGAATCGTCCCTTGTCAGGTCGCCACTGTTGACAAGCCATTTATCCCTTGCTTGTCTTCCTTGTTGCGTCCTCCTCCTTTTTTTCTCTTTGGTTGCTTGCTTGTAGCGGTTGGTGGAATGAAGCTCATTGTTGCTCTCTGTGGCCACATGAGGTACAACAACAGCAGCTCATGATTTCTTCTCTGAAAGGTTTGGCTTTTACATACTGATTATCAGTTTGACGCTGTTGAAAAACATACTGAGGATTCACTTCTCAAATGTTAGGTTTTTTTTTTTTTTTTAAACATCCACATCAGACATGCTTATCAATATGACGTTTTGTGACCTTAAAAATTAGAGCAATGGAATTAATTCTAAAACTTAACATTGCTAATGTGCCATACGTGTTAAACTGGGTTGAAAATAAATAAATGATATAAATAAAATTTGCATTTTTTTAATTAAAAAAAAAATTAGATCAATTGTTATGTTTACAAATGTTTTTTTTCTAACTGAACTTTAACCTGGTTCAATCTGACCCACAACATAAAAGGAGGGTTAAACCACTAACTAACCAGTTGTCGGAAGAAACACTGAAATGAAGGTAACATAAGTCTTGATAAGGTAAATGCCTGACTTTTTTGGAGGGTACAAAAACAAAACAAGATGCAGTTCAACATTTAATTTATTTCCCTTCAAAACAGAGACCGCAGGCCAGTTACGTCGTCATCATTCATAATGGCAATCGACAAACACATTTCTTGAACCCACCAACCCTCTCTGATCAATCACAGTGACATTTTGCCCCATTAACAGACACATTCCCAGTACCACTTTTATATGAGACATTTTTTCAGCAATTCTATTCTCATCTGGGGAAGACTGAGGTACTCAGACACCCCGCTTGGCTCATCAAGCACCATCAGAACTCCTCTTCTGCATTTCGGCAGCGGGCCTGCTTTAGAAGGCTCATGCGGGCCAGCGCATCGGCCACCGATACTTCGCCGTGGACTTTGTTATCCCTGGTACGCACGTTGACGCCGCTGGTCATCTTCTCCTTCTCGCCGACCACTGCCAAGGCATGACGAGATCAACACCGGTTCATGCCAAGTAACACAGCTCCCCTAGCACATGGCCCCCGCTTGGTGTTGGTGAATTTGTCACTGATGGGGTGTTAGCCAGCACAAAACTCAGGGGAAAATCAGACCAACTGTTGAGTCTAATACAGTCTAAAATTCTGTGAAACGAGCAACATGAACGAGTGATGTGAAAAGTGAGCCCAAAATGGTTTAATGCTAATATTTTCAATGTAGGGACTGTACTAAAAAAGTAAAGAAAAAAATAACAATAATTAGGTGAATATAAACAGTCAATATTCTGCATGTAATAGACACAAAAGTTAAGATTCAATTATGGCTGACAACTGGATTGGTTTTGTCAGACATGGAATAAATCCACGAAAAATGACTTCCTCACCCTTTCTCTCTGGAGTATGGCCTTCATACCAGATGCCATTATTGCACCTTTTTGAGCCATTACTTGGAACAAGGCTTCTGTATATCTTTATCATCAAGGAAATTTTGGCAGGGATTTTTGTTTATTGCTTATTTTCCCCACTGTTTGACTCTTGAAGCTATTACAACACTAACAAAATACTGATTTTGTTTCGTGTCAAGGCAACACCTTACCCAGAATGAAGTTATATTGGGCCAGTTGAGCATTGCGGATTTTTTTATTTAAAAGGCACCCAGAATCCAGGTCAGAATCCGCCATCATGCCTGCATCTGTGAACTGCTTACACACCTAAAAAGCAAGAAACGGTGCCCATATGCTTTTGGTGACCTCAAGGAGATGCTCTTTGTTGTGGTTAAGACTGAAGCGAGGGGACTCACCTTCTTGGCATACTCCTCGCAAGATGGGTTGACAGGCAATACCATCACCTGCCTTGGAGAGATCCAAAGGGGCCTGGTGGTCGGGACAAGTATCACAAAAAGCGTAATGTTCGGGGAGCATTATTACTAATTTTATTATTATCATTAATTTATTTATGTACTGTTACCAGAAAGTCACTCACCATTTCCCAGCATAGTTTTCTGTCAGAATTGCAATCATTCTCTCCACGGAGCCCAAGATGGCCCGATGGATGATAACAGGACGAGCTTTGTCATCGCCATCCTTTCTGTAGGTCAAATGAAGAAAAGAAAAAAATAACTATACCTGTATGGGCGTAAACTACTCAACATCATCCTTAACCAGGCAGTCTTGAGAGACAAGATACGGTTAAAGTCGAGTTAGCAAGAGACTGAGGGTGTCAGTCATTCCGTGAATCATTGAGAAATTGAGTCTGGTACAAAATCAGTCACAAAATCAAGCAAACGATTTATTCAGTCATTGAGCTCTTTTGAATTTTCCCTCTGGGTATCAAATTAAAACTAAAATTGGCAGGCTGATTCCCAAAGTGCAGTCAATTGTTTTTCTAGCACGCAAAGTTTTTTTTATTCTCCACAGCTTGCACTCCAGATAAGCAAAATTACACTGAATGGCTGTAGTAAGACTGGCGTAAGAATTTATTCCGACTCCGTCTGGACAACTGAGACATTGCGGGGAGAGGTGTGTGCAGCTCCCAATAAGTCAGTACTATCGATATCTGCTCACAGAAAGCTGGCATAATTGGAATTAAGAAGATTAATGCTGACTTTTGTCTCAATCTTATACCCATGGGCATTCCGTTGGAAGTTGCTGGGGGGGGTCAAAGCATGTCTTTGCAAACATACACCCAAAAAAACCAAAAATGAACAATAACTTGGTCATTGATTCACTGGATCATTCAGCCATTGATGCAGTGTAGCGTTAGTTAATCACCGAGTCACATAGTTAAATATGGAAGTCAGTTAGTTAATCAGTCATTGAGTTAGTCATTCATTGAGTTAGGCCCTGTTGAATCACTGGGAGCCAATTATTGAGATTGCCATCAAGGCACTGGTTTCATAATTCAATGAGTCAATCGCCAATCAGCCAGCTAGCTCCTCAGTCATTTATTCAGTTATTAAGTTTATTATTGAATGAGAATGTTAGTCGGTCAGTCGCTCATTGACGCGTTCATCGAGTCGGTCAGTCTTTCAAGCACTTCTCACCAGTGCGTCTGTAATCCGTGTGGCTAAGCCCTGTTTGCTTGGGCAAGTAGATTAAAAGGTCATCCTTAGAGCTCGGTCAGTAAATCAAAACGTGTGCACTGTGTCAGTGTTTCGATCGGGCGTCTCACCCCACAAAGGTCAGGTCGAAGCGGATGGGAAGCTGGAAGTCCAGTTGAATGGTTGCACACTGGTGGTAACGACCAATGGCGTCTTTGATTTTAATGTCAATCTATAACAGCGCATACGTAAGTGTTAACGTACACATTCTTATACTATATGTCTTTTGAGTGAGCTGACCTTGGGCCCATAGAATGCACCATCTCCTGAGTTCAGTTTCCAAGGCTCTCCAAACTCATTGAGGCTGTTCTCCAATTGCTGGCAAACATGAGTCAGTCACACATTCAAAAGCATCAAAGGAATACACCGTGAAGCAACAATCACCACGATAAACTTTTTTTTTTTTGGGGTGCATGCTCATAGCAACGTGTATAAAAATGGCTGTATTCAAAATAGCGTTTTGAACTTGAGGTAGATCTGGTGCATCTCTGTCATGCGCCAAATATTCCGTACCACAAAAAAAACTGAATCAGAATGCGTGAACCGTTAGATCCTGACCAGCGATAGATACCTTCTCAGCTTGGTTCCACACCGCAATATCACCAAGGTACTTCTCCGGGCGGGTGGAGAGGTGAAGCTGGAAGGAGAAGCCAAACACGGTGTAGACACTGCGCAGGAAGTCCAGGCAGCCTTTCATCTCAGACTCGATCTGAGGGGAAAACATTGGAAATAATCAAAGTGAGTACAAACATTTTGTGGCAAATAAGTTTAAAAAAAAAAAAAAAAAAACTAATAATAATAACTCTGGTTTCCTCCCACATTCCAAAACATTGCATAGCAGGCTAATGGATTGCACCATGCATACAATACCTGATCCATGGTGCAAAAAATGTGAGCATCATCCTGCTGGAAACGTCGCACTCTGGTCAACCCAGTCAGCGTTCCAGATAGCTCGTTGCGGTGGAGGACCCCGAAGTCAGCCAGCCTGAGTGGGAGCTCCCTCCACGAGCGAGGCCTATGGCCGAACATCAAACTGGCGCGCAGAAAACACGGCAAAGAAAGCAAATTAAATCATGAGATTTAAAAAAAAAAAAAAAAAGGGGGGGGGGGGGGGGGGAAGCAAGGAAGAGGTGGTCTAACCAGTGTCCAGGGCAGTTCATGGGTTTGAGTGCGAAGGTGTCGTCCTCCACGGTGAAGGAGAACATGTTTTCGCTGTAGTGCTGCCAGTGGCCTGACGTCTCCCACAGCTTGCTGTTATAGATATTGGGGGAGGCTACTTCCTGGAAGCCTCTTCTCCAATACTCAGCCTAAGTGAGAAACACACAAATATCATCAACAATCGGAATGCTCGACAGCAACACTTGCTTTCAACGCAAAGACCATGAGGAGTTAAGTATTCGGTGTCAGATTCAGAGTCTGGTCATGGCTGGTGACATTCTGTTTTTGGTTAGACTGAAGAAAAAAAAAAAAAAGAATGGAAAGAAGACAGCTAGCAAAGCCTGTGAAAGTCAATTTGAAATTTAACACCGGATACCCATTTATGCCGCCGCGTTGTAGCGGCCTCAACACTTATCTTATAGGTCTCAGCAGATGCTACATATAATCGTCATTTGCATTTATCGTATGCTTGATAGCATCGTATTCTCTTAATGTTTTATTCAGTCACATAGTCACTCCACCGCTTGACCGTTAATATCGCCTTCTCACACAGGCTATGTATACACGTGTGCATTTTTTTTGCTACTGAAAATGCCTCTGCCTATTTTTGCAGCTGTTCACCTCCTTTTCATGGTAGTGTTTATTTATTCATGTGCATTTTAATACTCCATATTATACGGTAAATATGCTCACAGATATTGTAGGGATTTATGATTCGTTTAGCTTATTCTTCTGTGCTGCCGCTACTCTCCATTTCACTTGTGCAAAAATGCAATTTACCCTTTGAAGGGTCTAATAATAATTTTTTTTCCCCCCCAGTGGGAAATAAGCTGATAATGTTTGCCCGAAGGTGGGTTGCCAAGATCCATTGACGACATGTGTCGTGGAGGGGGAACTGATGGAAATGGTGGAAGTGACACAGTCACACTACGACAGCTTTGCTCCAACAAGCCGAGCAATGTGAGAGACCTTCTTGGCCTCGTTTTGCGTTCTCATTCGGGCTGTGAAAGTTGTCAAGGAGAAATATGTCACAGGTACATGTTCCACCGAATGACACGTGATCGGATCTGTTCCCAGTCAGAAACCCGTCTCTTTCTCAAATTTGATAAAAGGATGACTTTGCTCAACTATTTAGATGCGGCTTTTCTTACCATCAAAAGGGCAAAAGTTAATATGAGGCTACGAGGAAAACATTCCTAAACTAATGCACAAATCACACACCTCAGGGTTGTTTCTGTTGTTTGAGTTTTGAGAAAGGAGTATGGTTGAGTCTTCAAGGTTCAGAATTTTATTATCTCGTGAACTTGACGTGGTCATGAGTCATGGCCATTTTTAAAAATACACTGCTGTCAGGATTACACAAAATATAAGTCATTTTATGGTTATATATCCATCGCTGGTTTCTTTTTAGCCTTGAATCTACTAAATGCTATTCGATTATGTGTACTTTCTTTAAAATATGCAAAATAACGTAAAACAAAATGTTCAACATGCCACAGTTCTCACCCTGATGAATTCTATGAGGGTGTTGTAGATGTAAGCTCCGCGCGGCAGGAAGAAGCAACTCCCAGGACTGAGATCGTGGAAGAAGAACAGCTCCTGATCCTGTCAAGTACACCAAACAAACAACCTTTATGAACATTTCGGGATTTGATATTCACGAAGCACAGTGCTGACATTGAAAACAACCAAACTGGTGGCAACTCGATGGCTCTTGCTGAGAAGGTGAAAAATTGCGGTCGCTAGTGAGGAATTGCCTTGTGCAACCAACCCCATGCTGGGGACCCAACTGGGGAGCGAGGATGACTAGAGCAGTTTCAAAATGGGGTCAAAACTGAGGGAGCAGAGTGAGTCCTGCTGCTGAATGACAAGCAATTTATTGAATTGAAATTCATCCATCCATTTTGTAACCCGCTTATCCTCACAAGGTTGTCGGGCGTGCTGGAGCCTATCCCAGCTGTTTTCGGGCAGTGGGCGGGGGACACCCTGAACTACTTGCCAGCCAATCACAGACCACACACAGACGAACAACCATCCACGCTGACACTCACACCCCGGGACCATTTTGAGTGTTTAATCAACCCGCCATGCATGTTTTTGGAATGTGGGAGGAACCCGGAGTACCCGGAGAAAACCTACGCAGGCAAGGAGAGAGCATTCAAACTCCCCCGTCCCCGCCTCTCAAAAAAAATACAGATATTAATACAAGTGTCAAAACATTCAAATATTCTTTAGAATGTATGCATATTACCACTACTGCCCATTACAATAAATTGTTGTGGTGTTTCAAATACAAATACATTTCTCATCAAGTGAACGCCAACTTACTTTGCTGATCTTGCGATGGTCCCTATTCTTGGCCTCCTCCTGGAAGCGTTCCCACTCTTTGAGCATCTTTGAGTCAGAGAAGGAGATCCCGTATATCCTCTGCAGCGTTTCCATGTCGGAGCGGCCCTCCCAGTAGGTGGCAGAGTTCTGACAACAGAGACAGAGAAACAGAGAGAAGATGCTAAAACTGTACATCCATTGATGTGAATGGCCAATGCACAAAGTTCTTAAAGGTGCACCTTGTAGAGCTTCATGGCTTTGATCTTGCCGGTGTGCCTCACGTGAGGACCTCTACAGAGGTCTATAAGGGGCCCGCATCTATCCAAGACCCATCATAATGATTAGCTTGGCAAACATTAAAGAAGAAGAAGCAAGCAAGCAAGCATCATGTTCACCACAGTCCTGTATTCCAGCAACTAACCTGTAAACTGTGGTCGTGGGTGTGGTGACCTTCTCGTTCAGAATGCGGCACTTGAATTTGTTGTACTGGAAAAATAAAAAACATCCGGGTTACCCAACTACTAATAATCCGGGTGATTTTGAGTCAGTTGCAATTTTCAGATGTCTCGAAAAGATTAGCCTCACCTTAAACCATCATAATTTTGTTCTTCCAAATTCTACACACACACACACACACACTACCCCTACAGAGAAAGCACACATACTGTAACCATGTCATATTATGACAGAGGTTGGTGGCGCGTGAAAGCCTTCGTGGAGGTTTGGGCTCTCTTCGTATTCATGTTTCGCAACATCTCTCTCACCTTGAACATCTTCAGCAGCGTCTCCTTGGTAACCTCAAGCCTTTCAAAGGCTTGTTTCTCCTTCACCACCATCTTGCACAAGTTCTCCAGGTCCCCAAAGTCGGTACTGGACACGCTCCTAGATTAAAAAAAAAAAAAAGTTGAATAATGATGTCATTGTGTTCACCGTTGTCATTTTTGACAAAACCGCATGGGTTGCTTGGCAGATAATCTCACTTTGTTCCATCGAGGAACATGTCGTAGTAGAAGCCGTTCTCTATGGGGGGTCCGTAACATAAACAGCCACCATAGAAGCATTCCATCGCTTCGCCTAGGATGTGAGCACTGGAGTGCCAGTACACCTGCAAGGAAAAACAATCGTAAAGTACTTTGTATTATGACAAGCTGTACTGATTGGATCTCCCTTCGCTGCTTAACATATTGGATATGTGCAAACAACTATAAAACATAATATTCTTGGCAGATAAGTCGGAATGACCTAAATCGGCTGCCATGCATCAAATAGAGAGGTCAAGGGCCACTGTAATATTAGAAAGCAAGAAGAAAAAAAATATCTCCTCTGGGCACCACTTCCACTAACTGACACAAAATTGGGTAGATGTTTCTTTCATAATATGACACATGCAAACATCCCAATGACTGATGCTTAAAATTGGGAAAAACAGTTTGGTTTGAAGTGGCAATTTTGACCAAATTGAGGGTCTTGTACTTTGACGAACCCTACATATGAGCCCCATTTGGAAACCACGATATCAAAGAGTGACGCGAAAGTCTGTCTTGCTCACTGCTTGTGCATCCTCATTCTCAAAGCGTAAAATCTCCAGCGAGCAGTCGCGCTCCAGAGGTCTGTCCAAGTCCCACAGCTCCCCGTTCACTCGAGATATCACTGCGTTGTCAGCCAGACCCTGACTGGAGGCCAAAAAGAAAAAAAAAAAATTCAATAATGCGCTGACCAAGTATTTATTTTCCATCAGCAACAATATTTACCTGATGTCACATGCCACTTGGTACGGGGTGGTGACCCAGGACGTGCCCGCCAACTGACGCCCATCGGGTAGCTCCACCGTGATGGGCTTCCCCTCTGAAGCTCTCTTGGCCCGGAGGGCATCGCTTTCCTTCTTCAGCACCTCGTAGAGGCTGAGGCGCTCATCGACAAAAGCCGGCCAGGCCTTCAGCTGCCAAAAAGGTCTTGGTTAATTAATACTGCAAACCCCTGCATTGTTGCAGTTCGACATTTGTTAATTCAAATATTTATTCTATTTGCTGAATAACTCACCCGTTCCCTGTTTTTAACCCTTAGGCCAAAGTCACGTCTGATTATATATCTTTGACACCATCTAGTGGCAGTTTGGTGTCTAGCATCTATGTTGAACTGGTAGCCTTGTCCAATAGAAAAAAATACTTTGTCGTCATCTTGTGGCATCTCTAGGGAATTACTCCCAGATTTTGACTTTTGTGCCAGAGTTTGGTGCCTAACCCCTGCTGGAAATGCATCCATCCGTTTTTTTTTTTTAATAGCACTAATCTTCAAGTTAAGTTGCTCACTCCTGTCTTGGCAGACATGCCAACCACAAAAAACAAAACAAAAAACATGCTGCCTTCTAACACATTTTGCCTGAAATTTAAAGTCAGGATATTCACCCCTTTTGCGGTTCCATCTGAATGTTCTTTTGGCTGCTTCTTCTCCTTGTTTTTATCGCCTGGTTTAGCGTCAGAGCTGCTCACCTGCATGAAAAAGAGGTACACTATCTTGAAAGGACAAATAGGCATTTTTTTAAACATGCCTGTGAAATGGTTTCATCAAAATCACCCCAAGGATCACGTGTAATGACACTTTATCCGCAATCTGTTTTCAGAGTGTTGGTTTTCTCTCTCATACACACATACACACACACACACACACACACACACACACACACACACACAAAAAAAAAAAAACAGGGGGTT